CCTCTTCATGCCCGACGAATAGTTATTTGCAAGCACATGCAAACTTCTATTCTCGTACTTAAGCTGTTTAATCTCCTGCTTAAGATCTTCCACCTCTGCCATCAATGATTCCACCTGACGGGACCGAGCAAGTAGGCGTTGGCCCATGTTGGACACAGAGCCCGCACACTGAACACTAAGAGCGAGGGACTCTTGAACGGCCAACTCATCGGACCGTCCCGACAGCAGCCTACTATCTTTTGGAGTAAGGAGGTTCCTAGCTACTATTGTAGCTATTGTGGCGTCCTGCATCACGGAGTCTTCACCTGTAAGAGGACCGTTAGAAGATAAGAAAGAAGGGCACCATACATTACCTTGAAGCGGCGCAACCGGATCACTGCTGAGACTCAATTCTAAGCTAAGGTTCGATGGGTTAGCCATTTTTCAAAGGTGTTAAAAGAGATGGGTGGATGGAGTTAAAACTCAAAAGGCCGGAGATGATTTTCAGGAATGAGCAACCTTCAAAGTGTGCATGTTAGAGGTGATCAATACCTCTATAAAAAGGAAGAGGCGCTTGCTCAGAAATCGAAGAGGCGCTTGCTCAGAAATCAAAGAAGCGTTGGTTCAGAAAATCGAAGGGCCGCTTATTCAAAAAAATGAAGAGACATCGCTCCGCAAATCTCAAAAGCTGGATTTTCCGGCGTAAGTTAGGCGACGCTTTCTCTGCTTTTCAGAAAACGCGTTCAACTTTGTCAAAAGATCTCCGACAAAGTTGAAAACACGTGAAGGCTGGCGACGCTTTCGCGGCTTTTCAGAGCACGGGTGCCACTTTGTCAAAAGATCACGTGGAGGTCATCATCGCAGCTACACATCTTTAGCTGACAAGCGCAAAGTTCGGCGACATTTTCTCTGCTTTTCAGAAAACGCGTGCAGCTTTGTCAAAAGAGGCACTCGTTCAGAAATCGAAGAGGCGTCGTTCAGAAATCAAAGAGGCGTATTCAAAGATTGAAGAGTCGTCACTATTTCAAAAAGCCGAATTTGCGGGATCAAAACGTTTGTCGACAAGGGTAAAAGAACAGTACCACCACTTGCTATTAGGAAATCCCTATATATGTCGACCTTCATCTTTTATGGCAAGGCAGACCTGAAAAAAAAAATTGCCCAACTCTTCCTCACCTCCGAGAGTACACTCCCAGCAAAGCATCTCAAAATGCTCAGTTTTCTTCCTCTCCGGGAATACCCTTGCAAACAAATGACACCAAGGCAAAAGTATCTCATATCATCAAGGGCGAAAGCAAAGGTATCTCATATCATGCTTTTCCCCTATCTTTTCCTTTGCCCTTGTTCTCACCTGCCAGGACAAGGACAGAGAAAGCAATATGTCGGAACCTCCACTCAAACTTGCGCTGCCACCAAGAAGTGATGGTCCATTCAAATGCAAGGTTTGCATTCAACTCCTGCATCAGGAACAAATAGTACAAGAGAAGATGCTAAACCTGCATAAGGAAATACCACTTCTGCAAAGGGGAGCAAGTAAGGCAAGTGAAAATGATGCATTGAAGCATGTGGAGACAAGCTACGACTGCATATGCTGAGCTATCCTCTAACCCTCTTCAATACGAATTGGAGAGATTGAACAAAGAAACAGAAAAAAAGGAGTAAGCTCAGACCTTCTGGGAAGACCAAAAGAATCCTGCTGCCTAGTTCAAGAGTAGCACAAAGGAAAATCAACGATAGGGGGAGACCAAAAGAATCCTCCAGCCCAGTTCAAGATCAAGCCTCGATGGCCCTTGAAGAAATCACAAGTCCGATTCAAAATCAAGTGTTCACCACCCTTGAATCAAATTCAACTCCAGATCAAAGGAGTAAGTTCAAACCTTCGGAAGAGACCAAAAGAATCCTCCAACCCAGTTCAAGATTAAGCCTGCGGAAAATCAACGATTGGAGGAAATCAGAAAATCTTCCAGTCGAACTCAAGATCAAGCCTCGATGGCCCTTGAAGAGATTTCCAGCCCAATTCAAGATCAAGCCTCGACAGCCCTTGGGTTGACATCTACATTAAGGGACTTCAAAACGCATCTTCTACACGTGACAAGCACATGTCTACGACGCGCCTTGAAGTGGGGGCATTTGTAGACATCAAAATTTCGGTGAAATGAATGTTGACCAATAATTAAAATTTCAACGTTCACGTGTCACATAAATTTTACATGTAGCGTGTGATTCAACGAAAAATCGAAATAAATTGGAAAAGTCATCAAATAGGACACGTGTCAATACCTGGCAGAAATGATTTATTTCATCTGATTATTTAAATCCAAAAATCAAGTTTTGGAATTCTATAAATAGGAGGCCAAAGGCATTCATTTTGGAAAAAAAAGGAAGGAAGGAAGGAAGGAAGAAAGAAAGAAAGAAGCCTTGAAACTCTAAAGCTCTCAAGCAAATCCCGAAGGATCAAGAAAGCAATCTTCGTTCTTCGTCAAATCCACCTTCAAGATCAAGCCCCGACGGCCCTTGAAGAACTTCCACCAACTCAAGATCAAGCCCTGACGGCCCTTGAAGAAAGTGTTCATCGTTCATCATCCATCAACCTTCAAGATCAAGCCCCGACGGCCCTTGAAGAACTTCCACCAACTCAAGATCAAGCCCCGACGGCCCTTGAAGAAAGTGTTCATCGTTCATCATCCATCAACCTTCAAGATCAAGCCCCAACGGCCCTTGAAGAACTTCCACCAACTCAAGATCAAGCCCCGACGGCCCTTGAAGAAAGCGTTCATCGTTCATCATCCATCTACCTTCAAGATCAAGCCCCAACAGCCCTTGAAGAACTTCCACCAACTCAAGATCAAGCCCCGACGGCCCTTGAAGAAAGTGTTCATCGTTCATCATCCATCAACCTTCAAGATCAAGCCCCGACGGCCCTTGAAGAATTCCCACCAACTCAAGATCAAGCCCCGACGGCCCCTTGAAGAAAGTGTTCATCATTCATCATCCGTTCATCCTAAGATCAAGCCCCAACGGCCCCTTTGGATCAACAACCTCAACAAATCCACACATCCGTTCATCCTTCAAGATTAAGCCCAGAAGCCCTTGAAGATCCGTTCATCCATCAACCTTCAAGATCAAGCCCCAACGGCCCCTTTGGATCAACAACCTCAACAAATCCACACATCCGTTCATCCTTCAAGATTAAGCCCAGAAGCCCTTGAAGATCCGTTCATCCATCAACCTTCAAGATCAAGCCCAACGCCCCTTGAAGATCTATTCATCAACTGTTCATCCTTAGATCAAGCCCCGACGGCCCTTTGGATCAACAACTCATCCACAAACCAACATCCTACGAAGATAGAATCAGAGGACCAAATTACAAAGAGATTGTAACCCCAAAATCATTAATACAAAAATATATTTTGTACACGTATTCTTGTCTCTTGTGTTTCAGGAATTTCTCGTGTTTACATCTTTGTCACAGGTTTTCTCTTTCATCCTCCTAATCAGTGTGTTTGGTTAATGCTTGGAGTGTTAAGTTGTTTTGAACATGAGTTTCTCTTCAGAAATGTTTGGCATATAGTGATCGAGGCGCTAATGTATTTGCTATCATTTCTTTTCCTTGTTTCTACTTTATCTTTTGTCATCACAAAATTTGCAATCTAAAAAAGGAGGTTTTTCGAACTGGCCTTCCGAAATGAGCAGCAAATAATAAGTTTTTATTCAATTTCTTGCACCAGTTGGGTTTCTGTAGGAGTTTTTGTAGCCATGGTAAAATGTCAAGTTCGGCCTTGGCACTGATGCAAACTTGGGTTAACTTCACTAGGCTTTCTACAATCCCACTCGCACTCCTGTTCAACATGATCAACGTAAACATGTTGAAGTTGATCGACATTTTAACTTATTTGACTTTTGTAAAGTCTAAGCATCAACTGGCAAATGTTCTTACTATAGTGTATCCAATTGAGTTTATCATAGCTCACTAGAAAAAGATGGGCTCTGATTTGTGCACCACTCAGCTGAGGTTACTTAGGGCCTATTTGGGATCTTCATTGCATCTAATTTTTTTGTTTAAATAAATAATAAATGTAGCTAAATTACTTAATACACATTAGTTTCAAAACAAAAAAATTGGATAAAAATATAATACCAAACATCCCTTTACATACGAGTTAGTTTGAGCAAGAGGTTTCTATGTCTCAAGAGATTGACGCCAAATTAATAAGAGATGAATTGCAAAATGTGGGATTGGAGAGATTAGACCATTACAAAAGCATGTAAGAGAGATTTGGATGTGTTGTAAGTATTCAGTTTTCCAACATATTGTTAGCAAAACTTAGGCCTCGTTTGGCAGCTCGGACTGTACTGACTATTTCTGTTGGATAGGATAAATAGCCACCGAATAGTACTGACTAAATTAGTCGGGTGTTTGGTGCAGTATCGGACTAGTGACTGTATTATTTATACTGTGTTTGATATTATACTAGATAGGAGGCATCAAACTTAAAAAAAAAAAAATTTAAAAAAGTGAAATCATTTTTTTGTTCCCAGGTCTCTCCGCACCCCCCAAACACCCTCCCTCTCTCTCCCTTCTTCTTCCCCGACGGTAGAAGAATCCCAAATAATTGTTCCCCAGCTCTCTCCACCACACCCCCCAAACTCCCTCTCTTTCTCTCCCATATTCTTCTTCCCCAACTAAATAATCCGGGCGTTTTGGTTGGTTTTATTAAGCGGGTGTATACCGTGTTATCCTATCCGACCGGTTAAATTAATCCGGCGCTTATTTAGTACGAGTGAACGCCAAACACTCGGGTCCGTATAACTAATCATATCCGATTCTTTATCCGATCTGCCAAACAGGGCCTTAGTGTATAAGTAAATACATCTTAATTGCTTGGTAAGGAAAAGTCTAGATTAAATCATGATCATACGATCGTCATCAATCGTCAGTATTAAATATATGTTAATTGTACAATGTCAAACCGCTTGAACTAATTTTAATATAACCAAAAATCACATAACAACTTTATTCAAATAAAAAGAACATGAAAATTAATAAAAGAACAAAAGCTTAAGAGAAAACAAGCTTAAATAAACGGCCCACAAACTGGAAGAAAGTCTAGCGTGTAAAACAATTTTTGTTTTTTAAATCCATGCCACTGACGGAACGCCACTTCCATCAGCCCAAACTGTTAAAATTTTGAATTTCAAACTACTTGCTTAATTTGTCAAAATGACACATCGGTGATGTAGAACTTATTCGGTGATCTATCTGAAGAGGAAGAGGAAGAGGAAGAGGTCGATTCCGAGCACGAGTCCAATCCGCAGCCCAGTTTTGTATGATCCTCTAATTTCAAGTTTCCTTTCTATTCTGATTCCAAAAGCATGATTGGGAATGAGTAGGGTTTCAATTTGTTCCGTAATCTTAGCCGAAGGAAGATATAGGTTGTGCTTTTGTTAATGGCGGTGGATGATTTGGATGAAAGTATGTATCTTGGGGATTTTTTTTTGCTTGCAGTTGTTTAGGCCTGGACTGAAGAAGTTTTGTGGAATGAGATTCTTATGAGTAGTCAATTTTAGTGGGATTGTTGTTTCAATCTGGATAATGAATGATGTCGTTTTCCTATTCGGTCTGTCCTTTGATGGTGTAGCAGATCTGGAATTTTGTGAAATGCTCTTTCTGATTAGAAATATAGATTTGGTTTTAAATTATTTTCTTAACTGTTTGGTTCTGATGTGCTTTACCGATAAATCAAGGGTTTGCAAGATATTTTTTTGTTGTTCTTTTTAAATGGTGGGTGTTATCATTTTCTCTCTTTTTTCATATCTGTCTTGCCATTGACTGGGGATGTGGGTGATACTGCTACCCTGTCTGTAACAAGATTATCTATTGTGCTACTGCACTTTCTACTATCAGCGGAGACCTCTACAGGGTTGATCAAAGAGGGGCTTCAATCTTACTAAAGCATTTCAGGTGTGATCCTTGTTGCCATATCCTTGAAATACTCCTTTTTGACATATAGTAATCTGTTTCAGTTTTGATGTCTTTTAAGTTCATGGGTTGGTTCAATGTTGGATTTGAATTTTACCCTTCGAGAGTTGCTTATGTGAAGCTTTTGACTGTTTGCATTGCAGGACTATAACAACAAAATGGTGCAATTATGAGCAGGAAAGAGTAGCAAGAGCAAACTTACAACTGTAAAGTTCAAGACTCCGGAGTCAGTGGATGGATGGGAAGTTCGTTGGGGGGCTTACTTTCAGGATGTGGTTGCTTCTAAGTATGATGGAGGAATGGATGCCAAGTTCGAATGCACTTTCACCGGAGATGCTGTTTCCTCCCGTAAGAGAAAGACTAAAGTGGGGTTTTGAGGTTCTAGATGGAAACCAACTATTATTCCTTTTACTCTATTTCTTGCTGCATTGTAGGATATGTTTTCACCAGAGGAGGGTATGTTGCACAGCTTCCCAAAATGAAATTCATGGTATTTTTCTTATTATTAATTACAAGATTTGGATAAAGAAAATTCATGGTATCCTTCTTATTATTATTTAGAATTTGAACACAAAATGAATTCATTTGATAGAAAATCATTGGCAACAGAAATTACCTGATGAATTTGCCGCGCAGCTGCAACATTTCGTGAATTTGAGAAGCAGCTGTGCAAGTTCAGTTGCGTTCTGTTTACTTAATTTTCTGTGTTTTTTCTTTTGCTGTTTGGATTAAGGAGCTAAAACATTTTTCTTTTGCAATATTTTTAGGTGGATGATGCGATCTGGGGTGCTGAAAATGCCACATTGAAAGCTGAGATGAGTGGAAAGAAGCTAATGCACTCATGGAACAACTTAAGCTCAACCCTCAACTTCAGACGTTTCAAGCGTGGCTTTGGGATTCTGCAACTCTTTCCCGGGTTTAAGGACTATCAAGGTGCTTAGGGTTTGCGTTCGGTGTTTGAATTAAGTAACTTTGGGTTAAACCATTCTGTAATATCAGTAGGTTTGTTTTAGGTATCTTATGGTTTTAGAATTGCCTGTGTACAAAGGATTATTATGGCAACGAGATCATGTCGGTCTGGGAAGCTCTTTTGATGGTCGCTGTTGTTGGAGTTATATTAAAAAGAAATATTTAAAGAGGGCTGGAACCCAGTCAAAGCTGGGGGCTAGGCCCTCACGCCCATATTATATTACTGAAGAAAAAACATTACAACAGGTAGGACATAGTACCTAAACCCCGATGATAAAAAAAAAAAAAAAAAAACACATAAACAACCACTCCAAGCAGTCAACGTGGCCATCACGTATTGAATCCAAAAGGTTTGACGCTCCATCCGCTGCATATAAGACTATAATTGAAAAGAAGGAAATTAAAGAGAGATTAAAAAAAAAAATTGAAGTTAAAAAGTATGGACGACGGAAACTTTGATCCACATGGTAATGTCATTTGAAAAGAAAAAGTAAAATGCTGGTGATGATGAATGAAGAATAAAATTAAGAAATGAGATTGGCATTTGAATATTTCGTAGTTTATATTGAATTAGGCTAGTGTGAATTGAAACAAGTTAGAAAACGCACCTTAATAAATGTCAATGTGTGGGATGTGAGCAATCTTAAACCAGTCTTCACCTGTTTCTTTCTTGCATCTTTCGCTTAACATGGGGCACCACTGAATTTTTAATCTATTTAAACAGGGGAGTCCACGAATCCCTTCTGGTAGTGATGCCAAATTAGAGCAATTACTAAATTCAAGGTGCTGCAGTGATGTGAGATTGCTTATTTCTTCTGGAAGTGATGCCAAATCCTCAATTCCAAAAAGTTGCAGACGTGTTAATTTGGAGAAATGAGGGGAAGAAGAAGAGGCAGAAACATCAACACCAACATCATGTGTAATATCAGATGCTCCTCTAACAAACAAGGAATCAACCACCTTCCAGCTGGTATGCGCAAGATCTATTCTCTCCACATTTGGATACAGAGGCATGGAAGTTAGATTAGGACAATTAATGATATACAATATTGAAACACGAGGAAAAGAAGGCAACGACAGATTTTCCGTTGATGAAGAAGAAGAAGCACTGTTATGAGTGTGGGCCCTCCACCATCCCTTCAGAACAGGGCAAATGTATAACTTGAGTGTCTCCAGGGAGGGAAAGAATGAGATCCTCATCATCTCATCACTCATACTATTACTGCTCTCTTTCTCTGATATGTACTTCAACTTCTCCAAATTCCATAGCTCAAGAGACTTAAGGGAAGGCAAATGATCCAAGGGTGGAAGACGTTGGCATCTCTTACAATCCCACAATTGGAGATTAACAATATTTATGAGAGAAGAAAACCAACTCGCAAACCTCACACCATTATAGTCATGCACGGACAACCACTTTAGATTAGAATGGGGTTGCAATACTTCCATTGACTTTATAATATCCTCCTCTTCAACTCCGTTTACATCTTCTCCATGTTTCCACGTCAAATCCAACGAGCTTATATCTTTCCAGTATAAAGACAGAGAATGGAGATGCTCTTTGTCCTTGAGAGATGTACCAACATTTGATTCTGACACCACATGCCTCAATTTCCTTATCTCTAAGCGACCCCTTAATTCCTTAAGGGTCCCCAGCTCAGCAAGACCAGCACTACCGCCCCTCCCCAAACAATTGCTTTCGCTCAAAACAAATCTATTCAATGTACGAACACCATTCAATTCACCAATTCCACGTGGCATTCCACTCAATCTACCACACCCATTTAACATGAGATGCCTTAAGTTGATCATTTTTTTAATGTCTCTAGGCAATTCCACAAGCCTTTCACACGAACTGAGATCTAGTGTTTCCAAATTCGAAAGTCCAACTATCCAATCTGGAAGTCTCTCCATGAGATTCCCACTAAGATCAAGATATCTCAAATGTTTCATTTTTTTAAGACATTTGGGTACTTTTATAATTCCCAAATCATTAAGACTCAACATACGCAATGACTTAAAATTTGAAATAATTGTAGCACAAAATGAATCACATAATGACGAATCTCTATGTATGCGAGACACTTCGCGAGGAAAAAGAAAAGTTCGTATCTTATTTGCTTTTAGCAAGGAAGTTGGTACTTCCCATTTCAACAAATCAATATTAAAATTGAAAGATACGTGATGAAGCTTTTCATGAAAATTCTTTTGGTTTGGTTCAACTACGACGCTTCCAACCCCCGACACTAAGATTGCAAGTTCATTCATGAGATCGTGCATTTTACAACTTCTTATTATACCAAAATTATCTTTTTCTTCTTCTTGAAAAAACGATCTCCACAACAACTCCTTGTAATATTCATATGCAACATCCTCCAAACCCTTGTTTTCATCAGTTGACTTAATGAACCCTTGCGCCACCCAAAGTCTAATCAATCTCTGTACAGAGATCTCATAATCAGGTGGGAACAAACTACAATAAGCAAAACAATGCTTCAAATGTGATGGGAGCACATCATAACTCAATTTAAGTGTTGGTAAAATATCATTTTGTTCTTGATTTATTTTTGAAAGTGTCTTTTCTTTGAAATTCAACCAATCAGTTTCGTCATCTTTGGTTAACAACATCCCACCTATTGTCCTTATAGCGAGTGGCACTCCCTGGCATTTTCTTGCAACCTCCTCCCCAACTGCCTTAATTGTTGGATTCTCTGGCTCCTTTCCATCTTTATAAGCCATTTTCTTAAATAAAGACCAACTTTGCTCTTCATTCAAACCCTTTAAGGTGTATGATTTAGCTGCATCTGATATCGTCGCAACGGTTTTACTACGAGTGGTTATTAGTATTCTACTACCTTCTCCACCGCCCATTAACAAGTTCTTCAAGCTAAGCCACTTCTCTCGATCCTCATTCCAGACATCATCCAACACAAGTAGGTACTTCTTCCCATCTACTTTTTCCCTAAGATCATTTTGCAACTGCTCAATCTCGTCATGATTTTTGGATTGAAGGATTTTCTTAACAACTATATCCAAATCAAATACATTAGAGACACATGTCCATATTTTCAACTCAAAATGCTTTTGAATCACCTCCTCGTTGAATATGAGTTGGGCAAGTGCAGTTTTTCCCAATCCTCCAATTCCAACTATGGAAATGGTTGACACATTCTCAGTTGAGATGGAATCCAACAAAAGTTGGATAATTGCCATTTTATCTTTATCTCTCCCTATAATATTTTCCTTACGAACAAATGAGTGAGTGACCCTCTCTCTCTTTACAAATCGTGTATCTTCACGATTTACTTCTAAGTGAAAGGTTCTACGATTTGCAACCTCACTCAGCCTCTTGTTAATATCTTTTATCTTATGACTCATCTTCAGCCCAAAAACAAGTTGATTTGAGCCAGAAAAAAAAAGGTGCACCTGTAAGAATTTGAATGGACATAATCATCAATGTGAAAGAACTGTATTAATTAAGTTAATAGAGTTTTGTAAGATTAAGTTATATGTAACATTCAAAATAATAATGTAGAGAACTTATTACAGTTAATTGAGTTATTGAGAGACCTATTGTATTCCTAATAGGTGGATATTATAGGCTAATGTGACTATGAAAATGTTCTATGAGATGCAATCTCACCAAACCTCTTGTTAATATCATCTTACGACCCATCTTTTAGCCCAAAAGCAAGTTGATTTGAGCTAGAGAAAGAAGAGATGTACCTTTTTTGATAGTAGGTAGATTATGGATATGGGTGTTTGGGGGAAGTGCAAGAAAGAGAGGTGGAGGTTTTACCGGACGGACGGGATAGCTCGAGATATTGGGTGGATAGGTGGAGTAAAAAAGTGGCTTTTTTTTTTCTTTGAAATTTTCATTTTTCAATATTTTGTGAAGTTGACAATGTTTTTTTTTTTTTTGGTTGAATATTTATTAGACATTATTTTAGGAATAAAGTGAGGGGACAAATAATATTTTTATTTTTTTTTACTTTTTAAGATGTGAGAGATTATAATATGGGTAGAAAAATAGAACAATAGAGAGGATCTAGCAGCAATTTAAACAATTGCAACTGTACCTATTACATTGATACGGAAGATGTAATTGTAGTAACTTGCTAAAAGAAAATACCCATACAATTGCCATATACAATGATGGTTCAATTCCTACATCCTCCCAAAAGAAAATTGTTTAAATGTGTGTAACCCTAATCTTTTTATTAAAAAAAAAAATGCACCCGTATAATTAGATGAGTACAAGTATACGTATTTATAAATTTCAAAAGAACGTATCCATCTAGATAAAAAAAAAAAAAAAGGTATCCATAAGCGTTATAGCAAATATAATGGACTATTCTAAACATAAATGACATAAAAGGAAATTAAATAATGATTGAAAATCTGACGTGAAATTTGATTAATTTTAAGAATTTGATATGGACAGAAGTGAAAGGACTTCAAACAAAAATTTAAAACCAATAATGTTTCAATCAAGAAACATTGGTGACTAGGGATCAGACCTAATTATTCCTATTTTTTTGTCTTATGACCCATCTTTAACCCAAAAACAAGTTGATTTGAGCTAGAAAGGAAAATGCGCACATGTAAGAATTTGAGCAGACACAGTTATCACGTTGATAGAATTGTATAAATAACTTAATAGAGTTTTGGAATGTTAAGTTATATGAAACATTCAAAACAATAATGTAGAGGACTTATGACAGTTAATTATGAGTTACTGAGAGTCTTGCTATATTCCTAATAAGTGGATATCAATAAGCTTATGTTATTATGTGACATCCCGTCCCGAAACAAATGAAACGTACGTGTGAATTTACTTTTCTACCCCTAGATCGAAAAATTATGTTTAGTGTTGTTTTGTGTGGTGTGATATGTATTGGATCACACACACCTACACTATCATCATTCTTTTCTTTTTCTTTTCCCTAAATCACTCCTTTCTGTCTCTCTGTCTCATACTCTCTCTCTCTCCCCGAGCTCATCTTCTTCCTCATCATCTTCTTCTTCTCTCTTCAAACACACGGACACACATACACATATAATCAAACCTTCACAAATCCAGAAACAAATTATATCATCGAACTCGTGAAGTCGAGAGGAGCAC